CAGAGCCTGGGCAATTGTTTGTTTCAGGCTCTCTTCTAGCTTAAGTTCCTTGCAGGCCAGACTACCTCTGGCACCTTTATGTCCCAACCCAACTACCTAGCACCAAGCCAACCTTGTGAGCAAATAGTAAGCACTAAATAAATGTGAATAAAAAGGCGAGTGAAAAAACAAAAGGAATAAAAGAAGCCAGTGGCACCTTGTATCTTTAGGATGTACCTTCCTGTCTTTGTCCCTTTTAGAATTCTGTAGTAACAATTATAGCACAATTACAGAACACAAACAATCTCCCAGGTTAATCAGAGTTGAAAAGAGAAAAGATGTGGCAAAGAAATCAGAGTGGTAGAGAAAACTCGCTCACGTATTTCTGTCATCAGAGGGTCAAGAGCTTCCTCTAAACAAAGCGAGAGCAGATTAAGAGCAAATAAGCTAGAACTGGCTAATTTAAATATCATGTCATCTCCTGTTCCTGGTTTAAGGCTTCTGGTTAAATGTTCATAAGCTATGGCAAAACGGCCATGGAAAAGGCCCTTGAGAAGGTCCTGGGAACATGAGGGAAGGACCCAGGGCCTAATGGCCAGTCCAGCCTCAGGGAGAAGTCACTCCTGCAGATCCCTGGTGGGGGTAACACTGTCAATTTCTGAGCCCAGGTCTCCCCCATGCTCTAGTACCAGAGGCTGCTGTTCCACAAGGGCAGGGTATTTCCTTTTGACTCTATCACAGTGTTAGAGTCAGTACCTGACCAAGTTCTTACCGACAGCTTTAGGTTTCTACAATACAAAAATTGTCATATTAAGAGTCATCCTGAAAAGTCAATGTGACTTTTTAAAATATCACAGATGTCATTTCAGATATTCAGAGAGGAAGAGATAAATGGTTTAATTAAAAAAACAAAGCAAAGTAAAACACTCAAACCTGTCCTCATGAAGAAAGACACGAACTTTTGAGAGGTCAGGTCTTGTCTATTTCACGGGACATGCTGCATCAGGGCTTGTGACAGTGGTGACAGCCTCTGTTCATGCTTAATGAAGCTTCTGCCTCCTGTCTCAGTTTCTGGGTTAATCATTCAGGGCAACTGATGAGAGGTTTTAATCACTGGAGTCTTTTGAAATTG